AAAAAAAAAAAATTGAGAGAAGAACATAGCTTTTTTAAAAAAAAAAAAAAAAAAAAAGAAGAAGGTAATATCGAGGTTTATCGGTCAAGGAGAGGTCATCGAAGGAAGGCATATACCACAAGGCAACAGAGAAAACGAAGAGGAGGAAAGAAATAAAACGAAAGGAAGAGAGGACAGGCAGGTGGAGCAGAGATGGAAGAGGAGGAGGTCGAAACGAGGCGACGGGAAAAGAAAAGAAAAGAGGGGGGAAAAAAAAAAAAAGGCGACGGTAGGACTCCAGCGAAAGACAAGGGTTCGAGACCTAAAGGAAGAAACGGTCGCGTCCCACAAGACGACAAAGGACAAAAGGGCAAAGGAAATCCAGAAGTGGGTAAGTACGGATGAGAGCTGCTGGGAGAGAGGAGACGCAGGATGTCCACAATTGTGAGGGAACTCTGAGAGAGAGAGAGAGAGAGAGAGAAGAAAAAGAAGAAAAAGGGAGAAAGCAGAGAAAAGGAAAGAACGAGACGGACAGGGAGAGAAATGGAAAGAAAGAGAAAAAGGGAGGAAAAAGGAGAAAGCGAGAGAAAGAAGACGAGAGGAAAGGGGAACAGAAGAGAGAGAAAGGGAAAGGAAGGCGAGAAAAGATAGATAGAGAGAGAGAGAGAGAGAGAGAGAGAGAAAGCAGAAAGAGTAGATAAAGTGAGCAGAACAAGACGTGGTCGGGAGGAGAGGGATCTGAGCTTGCTTATAGGAGGAGGAAATGGAACTCCAGGAGAGAGGGGAAGAGAGGAGAGAGGGGAAGAGAAGAGAAGGGCGAGAAGAGAAGAGAAGGGCGAGAAGTAGAGAATACATAAGAGGGAATGAGGCGGCGGAAGGAAAGAGGGAGGGAAAAGACAGAAGGAAGAGGAGAGAAGAAGAGGACCCAGAGGAGGGGGAGAATGAGAAAGCGAACAGGGAGGGGGCGAGAGGAAGGAGGAGAAAAGGGAGGAGGACATCAAGGAGAATAGAAACGACAGGAAGAGGAACGAGCGGCGACGGGGAGTGCCGCGATCTTTCCCCGAACACAATGTAACCAGATCACGTGTACACTTTCTATCTTTCCGGTCCGATACAGCCGTGACGAGGGTGCGTTGTGATCGGGAGAAGACGGTAGCAAGATGAGGAGGAGGAACGAAGAGAGAGCGAGACAGACGAGGAGGAGGAAGAAAGAAGCACAACAAAGAAAAAGAACGAGAGAAGAGGGTAGGGAGGAAGGGAAAAGGGAGGAGGAGGAGGAGGAACTAGGCAAAGGCGGAAAGCAACCCTAGCAAAAAGAGGAAGAGGAAGAGGAAGAGGAGAAGGAAACGCAGAGCACGACAAAGACCACTGGCAGCAGGGGAGGAAGAGATGTGGAGGAGAAGATGAAGTAGGAGGCAAAGACGGAGAAGCAGCGTTAAGGAGAAAGAAGAAGACCAGGAAGAGGGAGGAAAGGAAGAATAGCACGGCTACTTGCGGCAGGAGAGGAGGTCGAGGAGGAGGACGAAGAGGAGGAGGAGGAGGAGAAAAGAGGGGCTTACAGAAAAGCAAAGGTGCCTTATTCTAGAGATGTGGAGGAGAAGATGAACTACAAGTAGTGTAGGCAAAGACGAAGAAGCAGCGTTAGGAGAAAGAAGAAGAAGAGGGAGAGAGGAGGGAAAGGCAGAACAGCATGACTACGTGCAGCAGAAGAGCAGGAAGAGGAGGAGGAGGAGGAAAGACGTCGTGGAAAAGAAGCAAACGCACCAGCACTACTTGAAGCAGGAGAGCGAGGAAAAGGAGGAGGAAAGAGGGCGTCGAAAAGAAGCAAAGGTGCCTTTATTTACTCTATATATATTAGGCATATATATCGTCACAAGCATATCAGAGCGCAAAAGCGAAAAAAAGGAAAAAGAAAGAAGGAAAACAGGAAAAAATGAATTCATGATTTAATCTTCTTCCTTACAACTCCCCCTGTTCAGAACCTCTTGCGTACAAGGCCGCCCACGTGGATGTATATATATCGTCAAACAGAACTGCCCGGTAAACCGGCAGGCAGAGAGGGAGAAAAGGAAAAACAAACGATATATATAAACGAATTCATTCTTTTTGCTTCTTTTTTTCGCTTTTGCGCTCTCATATTCATGTTATGATATACATCCACGTGGGCGGCCTTGTACGCAAGAGGTTCTGAACAGAGGGAGTTATAAGGAAGAAGATAGAAAAATGAATTCATCTTTTCCTGTTTTTCTTTTTTTCGCATTTGCGCTCTGATATTCATGTGACAATATATATTGTCACATTGTGAATCAGAGCGCAAAAAAGGGGAAAGAAAAAAGGAAAAGGAAAAAAGGGGGAGGGGGAAGAGGTAAGGAAAGCTCCACCTGTTCATAACCTCTTACGTACAAGGCCCGCCACGTGGATGACAGGTTGAGCGCTGGCTGCCCCCATCCCCGTGTGTCACGAAGGACCCACTTGCACGCAGCCAAAAGGCAAAGAGGTAAAGAAGGGGAGGAGGAAACCAAACCTGACAGGGAAAGAAAGATAGGGAAAGAAAGATAGGGAAAGAAAGATAATTCAATTATCACAAAGCAAATAACACATCCCACAGATCAACGTATCTTTTTTCTTTTTTTCTTTTTTTCTTTCTTTTTTCTTTTTTTCTTTTTTTYTCTTTTTTTCTTTACCTGCCCCCACCTCGGCAGATAGGACAGCTACGGTGAGGATGATGTGGATGTTCACAAGGATGCCCAAGGAGAGCTCCGCCAGCACAGCATTCTGCAGGACGGCTAGCACGAACCATCCCATCAAAACAGTCCTGACAGAGGACGTGTTGTCCACATGTCAAAAACACGGCAGGACGTTCATCACAGTGCGGCATCATACAGTTCTGATAGCGTCCTTGGGCACAATAGGGACAACGTATATCTGGGTGATAGGGATGTGTACAATGAGGAAATGTTGGACACCCTTCAGGACAGACGGCGGCAGTCGCAATAGATTGATAATGGCTATGGCATAGATGATGCATTCCACAGCCAAGGCGCACCGCGTCTCTGTCCCGACAGGCGTCACACGAGAGTCGGTCAATAATCCAGAATAAAGTATGATTCGACAACGCTCGCAAAAATTCATTCACGTCGAAAATGACCTGACTCATCGTCCCACCATCCCACAGTTCCCACTGGGCAGCTGCACGAATGAGTGCCATATAATGCCCGGGTCTATGTAAAATACAGGCAAAAATATGAGGATGGTTATTGAGGTCATCGCCTGGCGTCGCATGATGCATAAGAAGGTGGCGACCGTGAAACGCTAACTGTAAGACATTTACATATACATATATATATCGTCACATGAATATCAGAGCGCGAAGGTGAAAAAAAACAGAAGAAAACAAGAAAAAAATCATTCGTTTTTTTATCTTCTTTCTTACAACTCCCCCTGTTCAGAACCTCTTGCGTACAAGGCCGCCCATATAGTCACAAAGTTGTCAGAGCTCAAAAGCGAAAGGAAAACAGATTAAAAAAAAACAAAAAACAAAAAATCATTTTCTTTTAATCAGAAGTCACTAACCGAAGAGATCTCCTGACGGCAGTTGACGAGGGGGACTCCCACCATCCTGCGATCCGTTCAAGGTCTTTAATCTCTTCTTCAGCTGTTTGTACGAGAGGAAATGATTTCGCCATTCTGGCAACATGTCCTCAATCTGTGTGCGCAGACGCTTGCCGAACTTCATCCTTGGGAATGCTACGATTACTCTCGTATGTCAATTAGTAGTATTAGTGTTAGCTAATAATAATGCTATAGTGTCTATAATTGGCCAATCAGACAGAGAGAAACCCAAAACCCCAGGTCCCAGAAGGGAATCGAGGTAGGAAGGAGGAGGGAGGGACCCTGCCGCAGAAAAACACGCAGAAGCTCAACTCAACTTCTTCTGTTCCGTTCCTCTCCTCCTCCTCCTCCTCCTGCAACTATCAAAAACGCTCTGCTGTGATTGGTTCTCTCTGCCAGGGTCAGAATCACACCACCACCAAGACGTACCCTTCCACTCGAAACCCCAAGCACCACCTCTCTCTCTCTCTCTCTCTCTCTCTCTCTCTCTCTCTCTCTCTCTTACACACACACACCAGAACGTCGCGGCACTGAGAGCTCTGAAACTCAGATTTTGTAAGGACTACCTGGTGCAGACCAACAATCGGAAGCGAGAGGAAGGGAGGGCCTACCTATAAGAGAGAGACCAGCAAACAGACGGGAGGGGGGGAAGGACGACCTCGCCAACGACAGTATATTTGGGGACAATATCATATCATCGTCATATCTTCAGAGTAAGCACAAAACAAAGCGAGAGCCAGCCAGGCACATTATTGCCCCTCAGCCCGCGCAATGCCGACTGCGGCCGGCCGATCAACCAACCAATCAAGCACGCCCTCAGTGAATCAATCAATCAATTAATCGACCAATCAATCAATCAATCAATCAATCAATCGACCAATCAATCAATCAATCAATCAATCAATTAACCGATCAATCAATCAATCGATTGATGCGCGGCGCCATGCACCGCACTCCCCTGCACTTTTGCAGTCCAATTACCGTCCCTCTCAAAATTCACACTACTACCATAGCTCTCTCTCTCTCTCTCTCTCTCTCTCTCTCTCTCTCTCTCTCTCTCTCTCTCTCTCTCTCCCTCTCTCTCTCTCTCTCTGAACGACAATACACTCACCCAGGCAGGGTTCCCACTACCAAGTGACACCTGGATTCAAGCAAGGAACTGCTGATATCTCCTCCTGTCGGGCCAGCCAGTGGACCATCGCGCAGCTCATGGATGGATGGATGGATGGATGGATGGATGGATGGGAGTGCGACGCGCACGCAGATAGGTTAAATCGAGTCATGTAGATCGCAGTCGATCCGTCACAATGAATGAAAGATGAAAGAAGAATGAAAATACCATCGACCGTTCCGTTTTGCTCAAAGGTGCACCGCGCCAAAAGAGGGGGAGAGAGAATCCCCGACGCGCCGTGCGAGGAGCGGAAGACAGGAAACCGCACAAGAGAAGAAAGCGCGCGCGGGAAAGACAAAAGAAGATACAGAAAATGATGCTGATAAGGAAAGCGCGGGGGAAAAAGAATAGTGAAAAACAGAGACTGATGTTGGGCTTCGCTCCACTACTCTCGAAATGCACAAAAAAGCCAAAACTCATGGCGCCGATGATGGCGGTATATCTTTCAGTGTTCTCGATTTATGCGTGTCATCCTTGCGCAGTAGCCATGCTAATCTTCTCTGTATCGTTCCAATTTTAACGGATGTCCCGAAGGACTATCTTTCAGTGTTCTAGCGGAGGATTCACTCTCGTTTCGCACATTTCGAGAGAAGTGGAGCGAGGGCCGTTTTCACGCTGCGCCCGTGCAAGGCGGGGAGACAGGAAGAGAGCAGCAGGGGAGAGAGCGAGGCAGAGGGAGAGGGAGAGAGGGAGAGAAGGAGAGAGATTCGCGTGCTGCGGCCGAACAGGGAATGAATGCAAGCGGCGCGAGCTATCGGAACGAGAATCGACGGAGCGAGAATATACGGTTGATACACGTATCGGACCTCAATTGCCGCCAAATTCGGCCACCTCAGTAGTGCGGTTCATAAACGTATCCCCGACCTCTAGTGCCCACAAATTCATTCCGCACGGGGTCCTAATCCGAGTAAGCTCCCGTGTGCAAGTTGGTACTTGCGCTCCTCTGTGTGTGTGTGTGTGTGTGTGTGTGTGTGTGTGTGTGTGTGTGTCTTTGCGGCGGCAGAAAAGATGAGACAGTGCGAGGAGACATAAGTTAAAATTGGAACGATAGAGAGCAGCCCTTTCTGCGCAAGGATGACACCGCATAATGGAGTCGAGAAAAAACGAGAGAAGAGAGAGATGCCGGTTTCACCAAAGATCCCTTCCCGTTCCAGGGGGAAAAAAAAAAAAAAAAAAAAAAGAGAAGATTTTTGCATTGTGGCTGAAA